GTCATTTTTATCTCTTATCTTTATAACTATATCATGGTTTTATCTTTCAAGGTATTCTGCTTTTCTTTCAAGGAACACTGTACCTCTTGGCCATTATTATTTTTTTAAATGACTAGTTGAAAAAGAATGTCAAAGGTGGCAGAGTTTTTGTTGTTGTTGTTTGATTGATTGTTTAATAGAAAGGCTTGCCATGTTTACAGAAGTATATTTCCAGGGCTCAGGATTTAATCAGTAGGGGTTGGCTTCTTCTCTTCAGGTTACTAGCAAAAGGCCAAGAAGGAATGACTTCAAGTTGCACTAGGGAAGGTTCATATTGGATATGAGGGAAAATTTTCTCCTCCAGAAGAGTGGTGGTGTACTGCAAAAGGCTGCCCAGGCAGGTGGTGGAATCATCGTCCCTGGAGGTGTTCAAGAAACATGTAGATGTTGTTCTAAGAAACGTGGTTTAGTGTGGTAGGTGGATGGTTGGACTAGGTGATCATGGAGGTCTTTTACAACCTAACGATTTTGTGATTCTAGAGTTCTGTGAACATTGAAGGTCATGTTTTGTACCTTTCTTTTGCTCACCGCATTTTTCTTAGAAAATACCCATCTTATACACCCAGGTTTTGTATCTGGGCTCCTTTTGCTGCTTCTCTTGCTGGAGAAATGTTTTCAAATCCATACAGCTTCGTTCTTGTTTAAACAAAACAGGAGAGTAGAAAGCAGAAAAATTGTCTGGTAAGTTCGTTCAAGTAATCTTAGGAATTTATTCTCAATCACAATAGATTACAATTTTCAAACTGAAATATTTTTGGACAAAGGGGAGGACCACCTCCTATTCAGAGGAATACCTTGTTACCCTCTTGGGAAAACGTGGTGACAAAGCATGCTTTCGAAGCATGACATTGTACATCAGGGGCAAAGAGACTGCTTATTGCTTGCTTGGAAAAAGGGGAGATGAAGCCCTAATGCCAGGATTAGGTTTTAGGATTGGTGGTTAAAGCACAGCCTCTCATTTTTTCCTTGTAATCTGAGTAAGAAAGTGTCAGACACAATAATCATGGAAAAAAATTCCCACTCTAACATTTTTACAATGCTTTTCATTGTATCTGTGCGTTCAGCCAAAGTGCATGGAGAAGCTGCACATTAGCTAGGGCAGCTCCTAGCTGCCTGGTGTAGGAGTTGCCCTGTGCAGCTCCCAAGGAAGGACAGAAAGGTGGAGGTGGTTGCAGTGTGCTGTGCAAACTGCAGCATCCCTCAGAAGCAAGGCTCTGTTCTAGTTGCTGAAGGCACATCATTAGAAGAGATGGGCAGCCAGGCTGACTGCTTACGTAGAACAAGATTGGATGCAGATTTTAAGGATAAAAAATGTATAGACAAAATGATATTGTATCTTACCTTAAGTAGTGCTCAGCAGTCTGAAGACCATGATCAGGAAGTATAAACTGTTAGTTATTTTTTGGTTTATCTTTTGCTTTTCAAGAAAGCAAAGAGTGTGCATTCCAAAAACAGCATAAATGTGCAACTACAGCAATGTCAATAAACGTCTAAATTCCTGGATGTACGTGAACAACATGCTGGCTGTTGGAAAACCAAGTGTTTAGCATTCACTCCAACCCTAGAACACATTATTATTATTATTATTCCTACTCTCAGATAAATGCTCTGATCATAATAAAGTTACTTTCATAATATGGAGGCAGGATGTGATTATAACGTATACAATCCTTGTCTAGTCTTGATCCCTTTTGTTGCTGAAGTTTAGGCTTGTCCTACCTGTGCTTAGTAGTTGGAGCACAGTTGAATGATGTGGGGGAGGCAAGAAAAGAGCAGGTTAACCTCCAGCACTCATTTTTTATTATATGCATATGCCTGTGCAGTTCCCAGCACAAAGGTTGGCCCTTGTTGAAAATAGCTTTTGGCATACATCAGTTCTAGTGAAGCCAGTAGAAACTTGCCCTTAGCTTTGGCTGAACAGTAACTCAGTCTTGTCTGGACTCTGTTTTTGGTGAAGTGGCAGGAAAAATCTCAGTTCTTTGTTAAGCCAACTCATATAAAAATGTTTCTTGCTCTAGCATGTGATTTTTAAAATAAACTGAGAAGTTTACACTGAATCAGTTAAGGTTTTAGAGTACATTTATAACCAAATAGTAAATATTTGGTGAATGAAAGCATTTCCATAAATGTTACTGCTATAAGGGACTACATACTTGTGAACTATAGTAGTGATGTAGCCAGAATGTGTCTCAGGCACTAATAAACCTTTTCAAGTTTCTCTTTATTCCAAAAAAATCATTTTTTGGAGCCAATGGCACCAAGCCTGTCAATTGCCAGTGCATGACTTCACGTTGCAAAAATGGAGCTCTGAGTCTGGAGAGTGATCTGCAGAGAGATTTGCATCCAACAGTACTGTGTACCTCATTTGGTAAAGTATTTAATCTTCTTTGATCACCCTGAAAACCCACACTGGATTTTGAGATCTTTTCTTCTCACTTAGCAGTTTGGAATGACACAAAGGAAATCATATCTTTTAAAAGATAGGCTATATTTATAAACTAAATCAGACTTCAATAGATTGAGTGCCTAACTCATACAGATAAAAAAGATTCAGCACCAAACCACACTGAAAAAAAATCTGTGGCAGTTATATTTCAGCCTGTTTTTTAATGGAAATACTATACCCGTTCCAGTCATAGACTCTTCGTGGTGTGTGCGCATTACAGTAAAACGTGAATGTCTTGTTACATCGTCAACAGTTTATAGAAGTGTGAGAATTTGTGAGTGCATTGTCTGTGTTATGCAAATAGGATTATATGTTTTAAGATCAGAAATTATTATGGGTAATGAATTAAGTCAAACTCACTGTTTTGTTTACTTTGAATATTGGTTGTGATGACCAGGAGTTGATTTGTCTTCTTCATCTTTTTAGCTAGATACAGTAGTCCCTCACTTTGTTTCTGTCAACAGTTTATTAGAATAGTTCTTTCTCCTAGGGTGGCTGTTGCTTGGTTGCTAGCCTCAAAGTTCATGGTGTCATCTCCCTGTTCTGCCTCATCTTACTCTTCAGCCACCACTGTGCTGCAAATCAGCAGTTCCTGCCTTTTCTTGCCACTTCTACTGAACCCACCTTTCTCTTTCACTTGGCATTCAGCTGAAGATGGAAGTGATGCTTCTGACCCAATAATAATTACATTCCTGTTAGTTGTACTCCTTCAGCAACTCTTCACCTGGCTTTTGTGCTTAGCTGTGGCTAGGAGCAGGTCAGTGTTAAGCTCTACAGCTCTGTGGCTGCACCAACCTGGGATCCTACTATCGCTCTGCCCCATGGCTGCAGTAACTCTTTCATGGGCTCCAGCTCTGTTCTTACCACTATCTTACACATGCAAAGAAGTTTTCTTGCATCAGTGCCGAATGAGCTTTTTTGCGTACCCCATCCAAATCAAGCTTGCTGTGTTTGTTTTTACAACAAGCAAAAACCTTTTGGATTTTGTCTTGCCTTCTTCTCTCTCCTTAGCAGCCCTTCCTGCATTTATCCCTGCCCATCTCTTTTTAAATATTATTTTTCTTTTCCAGTGCCTTCCTAGGCTCCTTTCCTGTTATTTATTTGTTTTGTTTTACTTTTTTAAAAAATCACATCTGTAATTATTTTTTCTTCCTTTCATATGCATTTCTTGCGCTGAATTCATGGCGTAAATTGTAAACATCAGTTTATGTGAAATATCAGTCTGACCTTTGAAATCAATGGAATTGCTCCAAGCCTGTTATCAGTGTAATGCTGCAATTGTGCTTTATTAAGCTTTTCTGTCTTGCTAGTACTTATGGTGGTGCATATGTTGCTGATGGCAATAATGTGCAAGCTATGATTAGTTCCTTGAATCATCTGTTATTCAGAGGGCCAGCTCAGTAGGGAATCTCATCTTTAGATCCGTAGCTGAAATTGGTTAAAGAAAGATATAAAAAAAAAGGAATCTTAGTAAATGTGATCCTAATGCTGCCTTTCGCTGTGTGAAGTTGCTCTCACTGCTCTAAAAAGAGAGATGGTTTGCATTGTGGAAGGTTGGAAAGAGGTAACCTGAGAGACAGCACTTGGTCACAACTTTGGATGACAAGCTTTTCTCCAACTGCTTTGATGTGGTGATATGCCTTTTATCATAGTGGATCAGACAAAAGACTTAGATTTTCCAGTATGTAGTAATTCATTTTATTTCATTTCCATTGTGTTGTATAGCCATATGGTAATCCATGCTGAATGTGCCACTGAGCAGTGGAGTGGCACCATGCTGCTGTGCTCTGACAGGTCATATCCTGCACCTTCTTCATGGCTGCTGTAAGGCCAATTCTCACACAAAAGAAAAGGGAGACATCTAATCTCAGTTCTGGCTGCTAGAGTTTCATAGCAAAAGCACAAAAATACTAGTAACATAAGCAGTGATCTGTAAGGCACAGGTGTAAAGAGGATATGAAGGGCTTTACCCATAGACCTGCTGTAGGCACAGCTTTTTGTTGTTGGCAGTGCAGAATTATGTCTTCAGTCTATGACACACTTGGATAAGTTTGTGTTGACTTCTGCAAAGGAAAAAAAAAAAAGGAATCTGCCTCTTCTTTGAATTTGAATAATGAATAACTCAGACAAGTGTAAATAACTTAAAATGAAAATGTCTATAAAGAGATAAGCTACCTGGTAAACATGTTTCGTTGGGCAGTAAATCAGCAAAGTATGTGCCAAAGATGGATTTTCACTTCAAAGTTATTTTATGTCAGGATTTTAAAAATTTGGCCTTGAGAATGAATTTTATACTATCTATCTGTACATGCAGTTCTAAACTGTAGATACAAAAAATGCTGTAAATATTCTCTCAGCAGGCTGCTTTTGTTCTGTTTTACTTCTGTTTGGATACGTTGTCATCGCTCTTAATCTGGTGAAGCAATTTTTGAAATCTTGGTTTGAAATTAGGTATTTTACAATTCCCCCATACCTTCATAAATCATTAAATGTTTGGTTTTGTATTTCATTGCAGCGGAAAACAGATGTGCTACTTCAAATGCAGTAACATGTACAAAGTGTCTTGCTCTGGGTCCAGAGTGTGGATGGTGTGCTCAGGAGGTATGGCATTTTGGTTTTTGCTTACTTACTTTTTACTTTACATTTTAGCTGCTCATGATCTTTATAAAGATAAAAGACTTCTAAACTGTGAAAATTATAGTGAGAAATAACAGGAAAATCTTTAAACGTCCTCTGGACACAGCACCTGGAGAAATCATGTTAAATATATTTCATTTCTAAAGGAGAAAATACGATCTTTTATTTGGAAAATTGCAGTAATTTTAAATAAAGTGAGAACTTTTTAATGTGTTCCATCTGCTTTGTAGACAGGTTTGGCGGGTTTATAATAGCTTTGAGAGTTCAGAAGTTTTTGGCATCAAAATTAAAATTATTTATCAGTACTTTGTATTAATTCCTTATATATCAGAGCAAGTCTATACATATGTATCCATTGTACTTAACAAGAGTGGAGTTAGCTTTGACTTCACCATATTTTATGCCCCCTCTTGCAAATTGAAAAAATGATGCTTTTCTATTTTGACATCTATTGGTTCTGAGATTTGTAATAGAATATGAATCTCAGATAGGAAGAATTAAGCTGAAATTGGTATTGTTTTGGCAACTGTGAGAATATGTTTGGGTTTTTTGTTTGTTTTTGTTAGAGGAAAAAAACCCAACATGTTTATGTGATTTCAAATAATGTTGGACTATTTTAGCAGTTCAGAGGAGTGAAGTTTTTAAGAATGTCACTGAGTACTGCAAGCTAATATGCTCTTCAAGGTCGTAAGCAAATCACTTCTTGTATCTTTCAGGTTAACAGAGAAGGCAAATAGATTCCTAGGGAGTGCATAGAAGAGATAAAGAGCGTAAAGCATTAGCATAACTTTATCTGAGATACATTGTCTTAGAATGGTTAACTTAGTCTGAAACAAGTGTTAATAATGCAAGGATGAATAGAGGCAGGGAGAACTTGTCCATGAGTTCTAGGGCATATGTACATGGCACAATGGCTTAAAATGTGGAGTGGTTCCTTATTTTCACGTGATGTCATTACTTACAGAAGGCACAATTTATTTTCCTGCCAGGTCTGTATTTACCATGGAGTAGTACTTCTTAGCCTTCTACTGTTATGGGGCTGTAGAAGGTTTCTTTTAAACAGATGCTCAGATCTGACTGAATTTGACTTCTGCTCTGCTTCTTGTGCCTCACTTTTCACGTCAGTCCTAAGAGTTTTATGGAAGGCAGGGGTTTCTCAAACCTCTTCACATCGTGCTTTGACAGTCAGTTCACCTATGCATTGTCCGTGTTTGTGGAATGTCAAAACCAGTATTAATTTGGATAGAAATTTTTCACAGTAAAGGTACAGGAGCAGTTTTCAGCTTAGTGCGGCTGTTTCATCTGCCTATATTATAATAATAAAAACAGTCATAAAGAACACTTGAGATTCTTTAATTTTACATCCCCGCACAGTGAACTTCAGAAAATGTTATATCTGTTCATTTCCAGTGATAACAGTGAGAGTGAATAAGTTCTTAGGACATTTAAAAATCTATCTTTGTGAAATTTATGTAAATCATGAAAGGAGTATAAATAGGAGAGACCTACGAGAGTAGTCTCTGTTGTGTACGTTGAAGAAGGTTGTGAAAAAACAGTATCAGGTACACTACAAAAAACAGTGGGAACTTAGAAAACAAGATACATGACTGACAAATCTCATTCTTCAGAGGCTTTCTCCAGTCTTTTCAGAGTCTGAGTGACAATTTATTCTCTATTACAGAGTGGGCTGTATGCACTTTTCGATTGTTTATTTTCCCCATCTGCCTCTGAAGTATCAGAGATTGTCCATTGTTTGGTCTCCAGCTGTGGCTGCAATGGATTAATGGCTTCAAAGAGCACAAAGGATCTTGTCAAGCCTTTTTTATTTCTTGCATGATCAGGATCATGCTAATCACCAGATTTGTGGTCAGGAAGGAATTTTGCACTGGTTCATGTTGGCACAATCTTGGCAGCTTTGCCCTTTTACTGCTTCTGAGATCATCCTACTACTAACCTTTTTTCTGTTGCTACAGAGACTTTTTTCTTATTGGTGGCATATTAAACTCTTCAGTCCCATTGTACATAAATTCCTCTTTCTAGAGATATAGTCCAGCTGGTCTTTCGCTTCTGTGCAGGCTACAGGATAAAGTTTAAAAATCTGTAATTGTCAAATTCAGGTTATAGAAATGTAAAACTTTTATTGCAGCTTTTACTTTTAAATTGTAGCCTAAGATTACTCTGACTGTAAATATGCTTAGAAATCATGCGAATGACATTTTCTTGGTGGAACTAATTCATAGCATAGCACAGAACTTTTTTTACTTACAGTGACAGTACATAGTTTCCTTTTCCTCCAAAGTCATCTTGTTCTGTTTGTGCAAGATCTTCTTTCTCACAAAGAGTTTTGTCCTTTATAGAGAAATAGTCATTGTAGCAATTAGATTAACATCTAATTTAAATATTTTGACATTACTCTTATTTAAAACATATGGCTTTCATGAACTACTTTTATTTATGCAATTATAGTAGCATGTTTTATTGTTTCAAAGACTGTTTGTTTTTCTCTTTCCTTTGAAGATACTACAGTTGGGGTTTTTTCAGCTCAAATTTTTTGTACTTTTTATCTCTCATAAAATAGGATTTCATGGCTGACTCAACACAGAAGGGACGCTGTGACACTGTTTTCAACTTATTGAAAAGAGGCTGCCAATCGGATTTTGTAGAAAGTCCCACAGTTCATGTTACAATACCCAGTGACCAAGAAACAAATACACAAGTGACTCCAGGAAGAGTTTCAGTCCAACTGCGTCCAGGTTGGGTTTTCTTTAATACACTGATATTATAGTCAATTAAAATACAGCACAATAATATTTAAATACATTTTGAAAAGAAACTGCTGGAATCGTCTTGAAGAATGATGCTATAACATTACACTATATGTGTAATATGTTGCTCCCATAGTCAAGTACAGTCTTCAGTAAGAAGTGTTTCTACAAAACACAGCGTATGGTGAAAATAATGCAATTAGTGAGTAGAAAAGGGATCTTAGGCAGTCTTTTCTATTTTCTGTTATGATTTTGTGATTCTTTTTCTTTTCAAACCTAATTTTCCCTTACATCCATATAAAATGTGTTCTTTACTGTAAGTAAATTGGACTGAAATTTATAATTCTGAAATTTATAATTCATAAATTAATATGTTGATGAGCTTCTTTATTATTTGCTTATGCGTAAGTGCATTGAGTAAACAACTGTGAAGACAGCTAATGTGAAAGAGAGGACTGGTCTTGTAAAGAAGACTTAGATATTCAATGCTTAATTTTTCATTTAAAACACATGAGACACCTGGCCCTGACAGAATCGATATCTCCTTTTATGGATTTGAGTCTTTTTAGAATACCTCTATTTGCCCTCTACTGAACTGATCAATTTTTGGTAGAAAAATACTTAGTTAATATGAGAAGTCTGAATTACTTTTGTATCTTGCTGATTTTAATTGTGTAGAAGATCAGTCTTTTTTTACAAGTAATTTTCTGTTAATTGCCAGGAAAAAGAAAGAAGCTGCAGGTGCATAAAGCACAAAGTAACTCTAGTTTTCTTTGTAATTTGTTGTCTTTGTAATGATAAAACTGGAAAAGCAACGTCACCACTTCTTCTCCTTTCCCCAGCCTCCATTCAGAGAAGTGACTGATAATCTGCTTTGCACTGAGTCATGGTATCGGGAACCAAGCTAGCTCTAGAAATGTTTGCTATTGCATTTATTTCTGAGGCTTTGACACAACTGGATTCATAGAAAACAATCTGCTTTGTAAACTTGGGCTTAATGAACCATTTTGCCAGTAGTGAAACTAAGCTGAGGGTTCCATAAACTGTACTGAAGCTTCTGCTTGAAGGAGACAAATACAGAAGACTAATATTTGATATATAGACATTTAATCCCATTTTAATCCCTAGGGAAATTCACTGATATACAGTGTCAGTGGGACAAATTTTTTTTTTTTTTTTTTTTTACAGTAATTAGACCAAAAATGGTTTTGTTTTGATTCCATTTTTTCATCACTATTTACAAGAATCCCAACTATAATGAATGGGAGAAAATACAAGTTGTATTTGCTGTATGCAACCCGGTCATTTAAAAAAAAAAACACAAAAACACTTCAATTTACATTGGCAAAGAGGAAACAGAAGTTACAATATACTGAAATTCTGTTTTCTTCATGTGAGACCCAAAAAAGATACATCTTGAAATATTCGGCTGTATTATGTTTGAAGAATATTGGAAGAAAAAATATTTAGGTAGCCTATTTAAAATGTACTTTGCATGCTTAACATTTCTGAGTCAGATCTTTGATAGAATTTAACACACTTCACAAATGAAATGATTCTGCAGGAAATACAGACATTTATTATCTTGAGATGAAAGGAGAGGACCATTTTTTTCTATTTTTTTCAATATTAAAACCTGCTTTGTTTACTCTCATTTCGATCCTACTGAGTTTTCTCATCAAGTCTTTGGGAACAAATTGGTCTAAGCTTGTTGTTTAACTTACCTGCGTTCTTCAGGCTGTGCTTTTGTCAAGAAATGTACAGTTTTATACACACATGATAGGCTGTTTGCAGAATACTTTGATATACTTTCAAGTGTCAGCCCTGAAGTGAGTGGCCACAATTTGTATGTGTCCTTTTTCAGTTGTAACTGCTGTTTGGTTCAACGTAAAAGGGATTGCATAACCAGGAATTTAGAAGAAAGTAGGGGGAAGTCAGATTTTCAGGAACGCTCCTGTGAGAGGAAAAAAAAGCAAGATGTTTTCTAAGAAGAGTTCCTTTGTGGCTTATTTTTGAACTATGCTTCTAGGTTTCATTGACTCTTGGGAGGTTTTCTTATTTCCTTGTTTTTCTTTTTGCTGACACAAACAACTTTGTGCTGAGGTTGCTGCAAAGATAATACATTTTTAAGAGTGTATGTTGAAAAGTAGTACCTTAATTTATTTATTTCCTTTGAATCAGGAAGTGAAGCAAGCTTTATATTAAAAGTTCATCCTCTGGAGAAGTACCCTGTGGATCTTTACTATTTAGTTGATGTCTCAGCTTCTATGCACAACAACATAGAAAAACTAAATTCTGTTGGATTTGCTTTATCTAAGAAGATGGAGAATATTTCTCTTGATTTTCGACTTGGATTTGGATCCTATGTGGATAAAACAGTGTCACCCTATATTAGCATTCACCCAGGTAGAATCCATAACCAATGCAGGTATGTAATCTTTTGATATTTACTGTAGAACTGAGAACTGATCTAATTACACAAATCTGCATTATGTGTATGTATTTTAAAAGCTCTCCAGAATCTGCTTCACTATACTAGGAGTTTCCAGCAAAGTTCCTAAAAAAATATTGAAAATTATTATTCAGTGTTTACTTCTGAAATATCTGGTGAATGGTTTTTAAAAAGTTTGTCGCCATATAAGAAAAAATGTGCAATGTTTTCTTTATAAAAACAAGCCTTCTTTAGTCTGTTTGAATATGTTTTTCATTTAATTTTATAGCAAACTGTTATATTCTCAGTTTGGATATATGTTGCATAGATTCATTACAAAGAATGATACTTTCTGACCAAAGACTTCTCTTCTGGTGTATGGTCCTGCATTCATTAGCTCTTTTCTTCAAAGTCTATTTTTGTCGATGTGATGCAGTTTCTTCCATTTCTTGAACAAAAGAAATCCTTTGATTCAATTTCACCATTGTTTTATGAACAAACTCCCATTTAAAATGAGAAAGGTGTTCTGGCTTGAATTTCTTTTTTCATGTCCTTTATTCCTTGCATTCAACACATAGGTAAAGTGAGGAATCACTTTGGAAATGTTCCAGAAGACACAATTTTCACATTAAATTAAAATCTCTATAATGCATAATACTTGGTAAAGCACATATTAACTGCTTGCATCTTCTTACTTGTTATAATCTTTACTGGGAAGACATGATTAATGGTTCCATGATGTCCATGAGCATCTTTTTTTTTATTCCAATGATTTTTTAATTTGGCATTAGTGGAGAAATTACCTGGATAGATATAAAATGTCAGTGTTTGAAGTAGTAAACTAAACTGTCCACTATGGTAAGTAGAAGTCAATTATCATTTCCAGGACATGATTTATTTTGCCTAAAAGTAGATGTCTGCAGATGCATTATACCTTACAGTGCCAGTTTCTATTCATTTACTGCGAACTGAGTTCGAAGAGGGTAGGTTGCAATCAGTATGCAGCAAAAGGTGAGGTGGAACCTGCTCAGCATCTCTGAATCAGATGAGCTCTTCCATTTCCGCTGTAAATACTTTTGTAATATATGGGTCACAGAGCAATGACCTGTAAAAGTCCTACGGCATTATCTTACTTGTGTCAAACTTAATCTTTTCCCCTTTTGTATATAATTGTTTCTATTGAATGTAGTGTTATGTGGAGTTATTTTTTCTCTTTAGGTACTTATTTTAAAATTCATATATACACTTTCACTAGTAACAGGATTTTGTGTGGATTGGTAGGGAATATTTACATCTCCTTCAAATGGAAAATGTGGACTATGATAGACTTTTTTGCTAAATTTTGTTTTGTTTTTATTTTGTACAGTGATTATAATTTAGATTGTATGCCACCTCATGGTTATATTCACGTGCTATCCCTGACTGACAACATAGCAGAATTCAGAAATGCAGTGAATAAACAAAAAATTTCTGGGAATATTGATACACCTGAAGGGGGTTTTGATGCAATGCTCCAAGCAGCTGTGTGCCAGGTAAGGAATATATCAACAAAAGACCAAATGGTACTTCGGACATGAATATGTATGTCACAACTGTGCTCAAGTGATACTGAATTCAAATTGTCAATTATAGGCCAAAAAATAGTAAGATTTCTTCCTCCCGTTTCATTATTTCCTTTCAAGCTATGCATTTTGGTTTCCAGATGAAACTGAGAAAGGATAGAATTAAAAAACAGAATGCATAAGGAAATCAACTGCTTCATGCTTGAAACATGAATTACTTTCAGTCAATTACAAAATCATTGTCAAAAGTCACTGATGATTTTCTTGTGTTCCCAATGAAGGACATACCATTTGGCGTTTCTGCTACTTAAGAAAACTGAAGAATCAGTTACATGTTTGCTTGTGTAGATAAAGAAAACATATGCATTTTGGTGTTATCTCAGCTTTTAACAAATTAGTATTTGAAAAAATACAAATAAATTAAAAATTAATATATTATATTGATAAAATTATGTCCCCGTCTCTCCCATGCAGAAAGAGATGGAAAAGATTTGCATCTGTAAGACTATTAAATGACAGTGATTTGTTTTCTGTTCAAGGCTTTTTTGCACGCTGTTTTCCTTGAAGTAGTGCAACAGAGATTTTGAAAGTTTACTGATTCTTGGGTTTACCAATGCTCTGTAGAATAACTCTTTCTGATAATTCTGCTCCCAGCCAAACCACAGGCTTCTAGTGCAGTTCTTGTTTCTTGGGATGATGTCAATGTAACTCTTTTATCTTGACCATTTTCACATTCTCTCTTGGAGCAAAAGGAGTCAAACCCAAAAAGGAACCCCAAGTATGATAACAATGAATAGTTTGGTTCCATTTTTATTTTCAGTTTTTGATTATCTGTAACACAGGTAAATAGTTATTATTCTCAGCTGTGTTCACAGCTGTTAGAAAAAAAATATTTACAGAAGCTTTGGAAAAATTCCTTAGATTGCAGTGTTTCTCATTGGATACATTCCACACTTACAACTTGTGAGTTTTAGAATCATCCATGCTTCCTAAAGCAACAGAATGAAATGGAATGAAAATGTGGGCTAAGGAGCACCTCTCCTATGAAGAAAGGTTGAGGGAACTGGACTTGTTTAGCTTGGAGAAGGGAAGGCTCTGGGAAGACCTCATTGTGGACTTCCAGTACTTGCAGGGAGCAAGGACAAGGGGGAATGGTTTTAAACTAAGACAGGAGAGATTTAGGTTAGATATTAGAAGTTCTTCACTCAGAGGGTGGTGACGTACTGGAACAGGTTGCCTAGAGAGGTTATGGATGCCCCATCCCTGAAGGTATTCAAAGCCAGGCTGGATGTGGCTCTGGGCAGCCTGATCTAGTGGTTGGTGACCCTGCCCATGTCAGCAGGATTGAAACTAGATGATCTTTGAGGTCCTTTTCAACCCAGGCTATTCTGTGATTCTGTGAAGTTTGCAGATGACACCAAGTTAGTAGGAAGTTTCAATCTGTCTTTAGAGGAATCTGAACAGGCTGGATCACTGGGCTGAGGCCAATGGGATGAAGTTCACGGAAGACTAAGTGCCAGGCCCTGCACTTTGGCTGCAATAATAACCCCTGGCAATGCTATAGGCTTGGGGCAGAGTAACTGGGAAACTCTGCAGAGGAAAAGGACTTGAAAGCGTTAGTCAATGCTAGGCTGAACAAGAACCAGCAGTGTGCCCAGGTGACAAAGAAGGGCAATGGCATCCTGGCTTGTATCAGAAATAATGTTGCCAGCAGCACCAGGGATGTGATTGTCCTCCTGTATTTAGCTCTGGTGAGACTGCACTTTGAGTGCTGTATTATACTTACCACAAAAAAAAAAAAAAAAAAAAAAGCACTGAGGCCCAGGAGCATGTCCTGAGAAGGGCAATGAAGCTGTGAAGGGTCTGGAGCTCAAGTCTCATGGAGAATGGCTGAAGAAACTATTATTGTTTAGTATAGAGAAGAGGAGGCTCAGAGGTTACCTCATAGCCTTCTACAACTACCAGAGAAGAGGTTGTGATGAGGTGGGGGGACGGTATCTGGCAGTGTTAAGGGAAATGGCAGAGATGAGGCAGAGCTGTAGGAAGGAAGAGCAAGAAATGAGGCAAAAGGAAGAAAAAAATGGAATTAGTCAAGAAAATAGAATAATAAAGATGGGAATGAAAAAGAAAATGAGGTGATTCATGTCTTCGTCTTCAAAGTTTTATTTAAAGCAGTCATTCATTCTTTGGAGGGAAACAAATGTTCTGGAAATAAGCACCCAACCCAGTATAGATCTAAACTTGCCCTGCTACGTGTTTCATATCACTGAAGTCCTAAAGCACATTGGATTTATATTTGTTGTTTGTAATGCAGAAAATTACACAGATGTTACATGTATATCTTTTTATGTACTAACAGTGTGTCAGCTGTTAGTCATGCCCACTATATAATGCATAATTTGTTTATATTTTGAGGGATCTTCCTTCAAAAATGAAAGCAAGTGGTAAGTGGATCTCTGACTTTCAGAATAGTTTTCAGACATAGGATGTGAAATCCACTTACACTCAAAAAAAAAAAAAGAAAAAAAAAGAAAAGAATGCTTTAAATATCCTCATTATCCTGGTTTAAACCCGGTGTTTCTAAATATCCCAACACCTGGAAGCAGAAGTATGTAGTTACCTCTCTCTTATGTTCTATTTTGTTTCCTTTTCAGAGCCACATTGGATGGCGCAAAGAAGCCAAGCGACTACTTCTAGTGATGACAGACCAAACTTCCCATCTAGCCCTAGACAGTAAATTAGCAGGGATTGTGATTCCCCACGATGGAAACTGCCATTTGAAAGATAATGTTTACGTCAAAGCTACGAGTATGGTAAGGTATATGTCATACCTTCTGCCTTCAGGGGAGTGGTGTAAATGAGGTTTTTAGGTCAGTGTCAGAGCATTGCTTTTAATTCACTCGTTAAAATAATATTTTCCCAGGTAGGCAAGATTTGTAATAAAGAATCAGTTGCCTGGTAATATTGGCATCCTTTTCATCTGAGATAAAGTGTTTTGTAGTCTGAATCAACAGTACAGACCACAGTGGAATATATTACTGTTTTTTAATGTGTTTTTTACTGTCATCTCACAGGAATGGCAAACATTCTGTATAAAACATAAGTAGAAGTCTGTGATATATTTTACAGAAGAAGCTCATTATGTGTCAGAATTACATATGCTAATGAGACAAAGGAATTGATCATGCTTTATGGTCAGAAGATGCATAGTTGCATTGTTTGAAAATACTTTGTAAGAGAAAACTGAAGATGTGCAATAGTGATGAGCTATTCCAAATTTGATGGACTAGAAAATACTTAGGTACCACAAAGCTTTGCTGTTGTTAATGCAACATTAAATATATTCAAATCTTACAGTATAAAACAAATGTGTTGAAATACATGCCTGTGTAAAAAGTTGCTTCAAATCCACTGTAACAAAATGATAAGCCTTCAGCAGATAATTTTAACTTTTGAAAGGATTTCTTCAAGTATGTACAAAATAGTTATGAGTGATTAAGAAAGAATTGTTTTCATGAGATCTATACAATTGCAATTGCAATTTCCTTGAACGAATGTTATTCATTCATTTTAAGAAACGTGAATCAATACTAAATTGCTGTGTAATCACTAAAAAATGGAAATATGAGCTGTGGTATCATTACAGCACTCAAGAGTTTTCGCAGTTTTGTTCATTGCACTTAGTTGAAGCATCCAGCCCACGTTCAGGCCAGGCCATTCAGGAAATCAGCGAGAGCTGCATGCAAACTGGCTCTGAACTGGATTCCAGCACAAATGCTTACTGGGATGGAGAAGCAAAAGGAGATTATAGTGAAATACAGGAGATTTCCAGTAATAGGGGGGTGTTCACAACCTTGTTGAGTGGAGGAGGCAGCCAAGCATATGCTGAGGGGAAGGTCATCTGGATTTCTGATTATATGATGTTCTTACAGTAACTCACTCCCTCTGTCACCTTTTGGATAATCCCTCACTGATGTCAGAATTATTTATTTCCCTTTAACTAGTCTGTCCATTTTCAGTGTTTTTAGTGTCCCTAGGATAAAAACAATACCTCCCTTTGTTCTGCAAGAGCAAAGAAACCAGAAACTTTCCTTTCCCAAAGCAGAGCATACTTATGGGTTATGATGTACCTATCTCTACTTTTTTTTCCACTGCTTTATTAAACAATTGGTGTAATACAAGTCTGTCTCTTGGATTCAGGATTTCTTGGTTCATAAAGGCATTGTCAGTTTCAGAGAACAACAACCAGAAAAAGCTGTCCAACATGAGAAATTAAATTCTCTTTCTATCTGAAAAGCTTCACCAATATAAAATGCAGACAAAAATCTATTTACAGGCAAAAATTAATCTCCTTCAAAGTATGACTGATGGCTGACTAATGAAATTATTATTTTTTTTAAATTCTGGGATGAAGAATCATGATTTTATTATCTTATTTGCAGTAAGAAATCTCCATTATTTTTTGTATTGATGCTTTTGTGAGATTATGTAGTCTTTCAGGCTGTCCAAATGAAATGACCTTCAAGGATACTTAGATCAGCGCATCTTGGCCCATGTGTTGTCTGGGGGCTGGCACGTACTTTTTCCAGCCACTGGCTAATTCTTGTGTGCCTGCATCGAAACTTTAGTAATGGAACAGGTGCATAACGGAAATCTTTCTCAGTATCAGATATTTTCTGGAACAGATTTGACAAGATAGCACAGTAATGTTTAGAAGAGTAAGTGTACTGGGTTCCTATTTTTTTTCTTCTCAGTAATATATTGTCTGTGATTATTTCAGATTATCTCATTAGCTGAAAAAAGAAAGTCTATGTAACTAATATTTAAATGAGATGTTATGGAAGTCTATCAATTCTTTTTTAAATAAGTTGCAAAGAAGAAACAGAGCTTTCTTTTTTTTCTTTTTTCTTCTCAGTTCAATTTTGAAGTACTATGTTAAATTAAAGAGCCATCTGTGATAATGTTGTGCTTCTACTTTCATTCCTAGCACCTGATAGTCTAGAGAGGATTGAATTCTGGCATACTTCGATTTTTTTCTTGTTCCAGTTAAGAGGACCTCTCCTTATTTATTTGTATAAGCCTAATCTTTAAATCAGAAATGTTTCCAGTTATTCACTTTTCTTCTCGCTTCTTTCTAACTTTTGTTAAGTAGTCATGCACAGATCAGCAAAAAGCATTAAGCAAGAAAGAAATCCAGTTCCTTTTTATTAGATTCGTGCTCAGTTCACTCCCTTTCTGAAATACTTAACGTCTGTTTTAGTTATCTTCTAAGTTTAACACAGTAGGTTAAAATAATGAAATGAATGATGTAATTGGAACAAGAAAGAAGATCTAAAATGGGAATATATTCTTCTAAACAGTAGTGGGAGTAGATAAGATAAAAATACTTAGAGTATACCGAGGTTTTTACCAGAAGTGGAGTGTGACTCCTCAAGTGACCAACAGTCCCTTATGTCATCTCTCTATGTGCTTAAAATAAAAAAAAATAGTGTGATTCTTTTGGGACTTTAAAAATATATATCCATTCTAATACAAAGGAATTTTGTCTTTCTAATCTGTAGTGAGACTTGGATGTACTATTAACCAAAACAAGCACTGTAATGAGTTAGAACTTGCAAGAAGATGGAGGTTCAGTTTTTCTTGTGAGCAGATTATGTAATTTGGGATCTGGTCCCTACAGCTTTTGCATGTCTATGTATGTCATCCATCTGAATAAGCTTTTGTTTCATAGAAACCCATTTCAGCTACTACCAATCTCGAACTTTTGCCATTAGTTGCAGAGATGTTGAAGGGTCATTTTACCAGAATTTGGACATGCCTGGTGTCATATGGTGAGCAGGACGCTGACTTGTTTGAGCACCCTCTGATGGTCCCTCACCACTGCTCTGCATTTGGAATGCAGGGGGTATTTATACAACATCTAGTTTCAGTAGCCTGTGTCCTGGGAGCACCTGGTTCATGTGTGATCTGCCAGTCATCTGCATGTGGCAAATAGCTTGTGCAGGCCAAGGAGGCCTTATCACTGTGGTCTGTGGCCATGGAGAAGGGAGCAGGTCTTAACACAGTGTTGTGAGAGTGACAACAAGGCTTCTGCTGCTGCACTTCAGTCTTAAGTAAGGAATGTATATTGTCTGGACCCTCATGTATGGCACACTGAGAAGCTGCAGCTGTAAGAATGTCGATTTATCTCTGTCTTACCCAACATCTATCACTTACCTTAAAAAATATAATCTCTTATCAAAGGATAAATGAGTGGAGATCCTGTCTAGGATCAAACTGCAGCAAGGAGCTCCTTTGTTCTTTCTGTCCAAGGCTATTTATGATAGTGCAATGTGGTGGAAAATGGATTTTATCCCCTTGCATAACGTTGTCTCTGCTGTCCTGGCTTTCAAATTACTGTTAGGATAGCATTTGACTTGCAGGCTGCCTTGAATAACAAGTGGCACTCCGAGGAGTAATGAATTGTGCAAGAAAACTGTGAGAGCATGTTTGTGTAGGAGAAAGGAAGAAAGAAAATGTGGGACAGATGCTGAAAAATGGTAGGAAGAGAAAGACCGCAGAAGTATGTGGGGTAATGCGGTTGTCTTGACACGTGTATAGGTGTCCTTATGAAATCTCTGGGAAGACACACGAGCCCCAGTCACTTCACTGTGTTTTATCATTAATTTTAGATGTTGAATTTACTTCCTAGGAAGTATTCCCAGACTTATAGTAAATCAGCAGTGACTTTCAGATTCAGTTTGCTTTGGAGTAGTGGAATTGAAAGGAATCCCACACTGGCCAGATGTACAAGCCCACTGAGGCCACAAACACCTTTGTTCTTCCCAATATCTTGAATGAATGGATAGCAACATACATCTTGTTCCCAAGTCTGTGTCAGATCTTGCAGCAAGAAGTGTAGAAGGGCAGGTCATAGCACAGGACCTGCCCTCATAGGTACCCCACCAAGAAGAATAATGTCCACAGTGTGAAGAGAAGTGAAACTCCCTCTACCTTCCTCAAGGAGAAGCAGAGTTCAAAAACTGTAGCAAGACATTGCAGTAACAGCTGAAGACATTGCTCCTTAGGCAAGTCTTCAAGAAAGCTGTCAGCTGTAAGATATATATAGGATATTGACATTGCTAGAACCTGAGCCAATGGTTTCATTTTGCTGATGTGTCTGATCCCTAGTGCCAAGAAATAAATTCCTGGTGCTGAGAAACAAATTTAATAACTTGCCTTGCCACTCTTCAAATCACACCTCATCTTGGTGCCCTCATGTCATTCCTTCTCCTTGACTTTTGAGCAAGAACCCACTTATCGTTCTCAGGAATCTTTTTGGTATTCTGGGCAGACCATGGAAAATACCATATCCAGCAGCTGTTTCATAAGCATTAGACTCCAACAGAAAGGTACTGTGTGGAGAGTTCACTTAGTCCTTAGACCAGAATGGTCCTTAGACCATTCTGCAGCACAGCTGCAGAGCTGACGATGGAAGAGTATTGCAGTTCACCTAATGCACTGATTTTGTTATGTCGTTGTGGTGGTTTTTTTTAATATTCAGTCAGCCCTACCTTCTTTTGGATGTAAGCCTAGCATTTCTCTGTACGTTTAGAAATAAGGATTGGAGTGGCTTTGTAGCCCTGTATTGTGACAAACATAAAATCTAAGGTTGTCTCTTACTAAACTGCAGTCCTCTGTTTTATTTTGCAGGAGCATCCATCTCTTGGTCAGCTCTCTGAAAAATTGATTGACAATAACATCAATGTCATTTTTGCAGTTCAAGGAAGCCAGTTCCATTGGTATAAAGTAGGTTAGAAACCTGATTCCTTTTCTAAATTTGAAAACATAGTATTTTATTAAATATATTGAATGTGCATCAATTAATGTATTTTTTTTTGTAGGATTTGTTACCTCTGTTGCCTGGTACTGTTGCGAGACAGATAGAATCACAAGCAGCAAATCTCAATGATTTGGTGGTAGAAGCTTATCAGGTATGATCAGAATGACTGCGCTGGATGCTGTCTTTGTACAGGATTTTGTTGTTGTTGTTGTTTTTGTTTTTTGTTGTTGTTTTTTTTTTTTACTTTTCACAGTCTAGAGCCTAAAGTTGGAATTTCCAGGCCTCTATCTAAAGTCCACATTCCTACTTTTCTGAATGTCCAGGTTGGTGATGGCAGTATCCCTAAACAACTCTCAAATTCCCAGGCTGTTGGTGTCTCAAAATCAAAAGCTAATTTTATACTAAGGATGCTCTTTAATACAGTGTTTGATTCTTTGCCATGTTACATCAAAAGAAATTTCTTTTGTATTTAAAAGAAGTTTCATTTGTATTTTGGGATCTCACATCTTTGGTTACATACTAGACACTACTGTCTAGGCACCATACAAACTCAGAGCCAAAGGACACTACAAGATTTAGAGGATTTTACCTCATAGTTCTTAGAAAAAAGGGAAAAAAGTGGAAATTTACAAAAAGAATATTTCCACAAAGAATACTGTGGAAAGCAGCATTTACATTGCATAGGGCAGCATAATGTCTCAGGGTTTTAATACATTGCAGTAAAAAAAGTTTTGATAGGGATTTGAGAGAGAACAAAGGAAATGGCTCTGTGTGCTTCCATGTAAAGTTCTCAACTGGAAGTAGTATGGGAAAAAGCATTTTCACAAATGATTGCTGAGGAATGTCAGCTTTTAAGGGGAGACTGTCATCTTGATAGTGTGTGAAAGGGGGGATAAACAACTCTAAAATGAAGCATTGTAGTATACATTTGATCCTCTAGAGCAAAGGGAGCACATAGAGCAGGAGTAAAATAAGAGTAAAATAAGATAGTAGGCTAGATAGCTGAATGTTTTTCAGGTGTGCAAGTTGCATAAACATGCAAGGTTAAGAAATTAGAAAATTAGTTATAGATCTGTACACAAGGTATCAGTGTGCATCACATTAATTTGGATTACTTGGAGATGAAAGAATGAAATTGTCCATTATGCTAGGTTAACCATCTAAATGAGGCTCTTTGGTTGCTTTCAGCAAATTAGCTCTAATGAGAAGCCAAGTCCCATGTCTATTACTAGCAGTAGAGTGGGCTTGTCTGTGTTTTCACGCTGTCATTTTGGGAAACATTGTGCAGACACCAAAGGCATTCAAAAGCTGAGGAAGTATAATCAAATTGCAGATAAATTCTCCCTGGTATTAGATTTTCTCTTCTAAAATCAAGAAATCTCATTTTGAATATAGATATTTGTAGGAAATAGTGAAATACCGCTTGAAAAAAAAAAAAAAAAGTAATAATTTGCAGATCATGGTTCTGATTGCCACTTTTACACCATCCACTCTTAATTGTATCCAGGTTTTTATAGGATAATCCAGGGCAAGCATTCAAAGAGAGAAAATAAAAATTTACAAAATAATCCTTTCTGTTAAATTGAAGATTCTATGGGACTTTCCTTCTCCAGCCACGCCCAGTTCATTCTTGCTTTATTTTCTGGACAGTATCATCCTTCCTCTCTTAAATCACACTGGATTTGGTACTTCTGAATACTTTTGTCATGTTTTTAGTTTCTAGTAAGATGCAAACAACACAGTGAACAGTGTTTTGAATGTTTTGCCTCCGGGATCACATAAGTATTTACATAAGAAAATTTAGTTTTGATGTCTGATGGTAGTGGGCCTCTTGTATTCTTTTTCTAAGCAGGGAAGCCTTAGGCTTAGTTGTGGAAAACCTTGTCTGGAAATCCCTAAAAAGTCAATGATGAGTCACTAATTTTGAAAAACTTACTTAGCTAAACATGTGTTCAGATTCATACAATTAAATTTTCATTTGTAACACTAATGTCCCACAAAACTAATTTTAAAAATAGTAAGATGCAAGGAATTTTACTGTTTGCATGGAAATTTAATATTCTCTTGGTGCAATAAATGTTTACAGAGTTTTAATATGTTTGCAAAAGGCAAAGAAGTAATATTTCTTTTGTAATTACTAAATAGTATTTTTGAGGACATGGAAAATACTGGTTACAAAGCAGGCCTTTTACTTACTTTGCATTGTCAAAAGCCCACTTGGGAATTAACAGATTGTTGATTTATATAGTCCTATCTGACCCAAATAAATCAGGAAGGGTAATCTCAGTACCCTTTATATCACCCTAAGATCTGCTCAGGGGAAACTTTTCCAAGACAGATGCAAAATATCACAAGTTTAAAGCATCGATTTGATTAGTAACCTTTTCTGCTGAATAAGAATAGTAGTATGCATGTTTTCTGTTTTTATTTCAAGTGTGCAGCTAAAAGACAACATAGTGTCTCAGATAATAAGCAGTTTTTGTTACACATAGTTGTTAGAACAGATTTTCAAATTGCCAAAAATACAGCCTCAAAACCATTTTTGAAAAGCTGAAAACATTTTTATCTGGAAAATGTAATCCACTTTATCAGAGCTACCAGTTCATTGATTGTGTATTTTTGGAACGTAATTGGTTCTTTATATGGGAAACAATGCTTTAATTCATTCCTTTATTCACACAGACAAGCTTTCTTCATTTTTAGTCAGTCATTGTAGCAGTACTTGGTATTAGTCATTAATGCACATTATATGTGGGAATGCAATGCAACTATAAGTTATTTTCTGGTTACAGAAACTAATCTCTGAAGTGAAAATTCAAGTGGATAACCAGATCCAGGATCTTAATTTCAATATCACTGCAATCTGTCCTGATGGAAGCAAAAAAACTGGCATGGAAGGATGTAAAAACGTTGGATATAATGAAGAAGTATGTTGATAGTTTTCATTCTTCAAGGAACTGGAATACTTATTTTTCTGTTTGGTTGAGTTTCAATGGTGTGAAATCTTCTAGGGATTTACTCAAACTGAAACTGCACTTTAGTGATTAATGATCACAAACTCTCTATTATTCTGTTGTTTTTTTTTTTTTTTTTTTCCCAATCTTGTTTTAATTCTCACTAATCTCGTGGGACTCAGGCTCAAAGCTTTTCCTGAAAGCTAATGTCCATTAAAACTGTTCTCCTTTGTCCTTCGATGGTCACAATGGCCATGTTCATTGTGATGAAATTTGTACTTAAAGAGGTTGAAAGATAATCACTCAGTGCAAAAGAATCGTTGGAATTTGTGCTGCTTGGATCTGTTCAAGACACCACCTTTCTCTCTCCTTGCTCCAGTAGCCTTTGTGCACATTCAGAGTCATGGGTAATTGGTTTATCTTATAAATCAAATTAATAAAATGATTAATTCCCATTTGGATCAGTACCATGTACTGAATGAATTGGATTATAAAACTGTAGCATCATGCACCATGAAAATGTGTGGGAAGATGTCTGGCTAATATAAAAGACGTGGTTTTCTTCCCAGAACAACTTTTCTGTGTGTTGATATATTTATTTGATTGCTTGGATCAGTAGAGTAATTCCTGTAGTTTGCCAGGAAGAGGTCTGTGTTTCTGGAGAGCAGGGTCAAGGAGTTCTTTCCTTGTGGTGTACACACAGATCAGTTGATGAGATTTGATTGTGTTTGTGCATAGAAGTGGCAAAACAATAGATTAAATGTGTGAATTTTAAATATGTTCATTTAAATGTATTTTATTCTCTTCTCTATTTTGTCTGCACGATTTGCAGCTGATTAACTGCTACACTTTAGGTAGATGTGATAGGTTTTTGTTCTTAACTCTTCTGAAATGTCATTCCCTGTGTATGTCATAAGAAATAGGAATGGAATTCGTTCTGTTTAACGAAAAGAAAAATATTTATATCTGGTTCTTTTTAATAAAAAGACAAGCCAGTTGATTGTAAAAGATCACATGTGGTCTTACAGCTTACTGCAGTTGAAAATGAGCCATCTTCAAGAGATTAATTTATTTTTAACCGCAAAGCCTCCTTTCAGTATTTGTTTACAGGCAGAATGCTTGTTCTTAATTCTCACATTCCTTTCATTGTCTAATCCTTCTTCCTTCCTTTCCTTAGTAAAACACAAAAGTGCATTATAGTCTGGAAGAATCCTGTGGCCTCTTCATGGTGCAAAACTAACTTTGATTATTAGTGAGTTCATGGTGTCATAATTATTTAGTGGCAATAACTTTAATCTTTCTGCTGCTAGCCATCATGTTTCATGACTTTTAGACAAGCCGGTTTTTGCTCTTCCCTCCCATGTTGTACTGGAACATCACATTTTCTAACAGGGTCCGGTGCTGTACACAAAGCTCATTCTCTAGCTGCAGCCTTTCCTCCCCTCGTGACATGCACCTGCTGTATGAATTATGAGTGCATGTCCACGCTTCCTCATGGAAGAAGTCTCAAGCACAGAGCCTGCTGGCAGCTGGGGGTTATGCATGCAGCAGAGCACTTGAAAAACAAGAAGAAAAGCAAAGAGAGGGACAAAGCCTTTGTGCACCCTCGATGGGATGGTTGAGGAGTGCACGCTCTGCATTGCATTCTTCTCCTGCTGGTGTAGGCAGCCGCAGCCCGGCTGATCACAAAGCTGCCTTTGTGGAGCCGGAGGGGGAGACCGCCATGGGGAATGAATGCCACAGTCTTTGTGGGGAGTTTCAGCCTCCCACAACACAGCTTTCTTATGTTTTCAATTCTTTTGATTTGGAAATCGTTGATGACAAAAAGTAAAGGCACTTGCATGCCCCGGGTTCTTTTCTCACCTTTTCTATTTGGTGATACTTTCTCTGCAAGAAGGCTTAGAAGAGCTGTTCTCAGTTAGCTGATGGCATATACCTCATCAGAGCAATACGTCATCAGAACAGTAGCAGTCAAACAAGTAAAAAAAAAAAAAAAAAAAAAAAAAAGTGCAATGCAAAGATTGCTGTTATGAAATCACCACAGATAGCAAAACTCAAAGAGTTTTAGCAGTCAGAAATGCCGACTCTATGGCAGCCACCTAACCCCTAAAAGAGCCGTGACAAGGTGCCAGGGCTGGGGAAGGCATCAGGTGCCACTGCCGCCATGAGCGCAGCCACAGGCTGTGACCCAGGGCATGGTGCTGGTGGCCTGGCTATGGCCAAGGGTGAGTGCAGGGCTCCTCCCAGAGCAGGGCTGCAGCCACAGCAGCAGCACTTTCCTGCTTCACTTGCATCACAGGAAAGGCAAAAATAAGCTGCTGCTAAGGTGTGAGCCATTTCTGGGCCTTCCAGAAATGCCTGTGTATTTTGTTTCCGCAGTCTGTTTCTGCAACAAGGACATTTACTCTAGATTGTTTTTATGATGAGTATCTGTTTCAGCTTGTGTTGGTCTTGCTCAATCAATTCTGATTTGCATTTCTATAATATAAACAGAATGAACATTAAAAAAAAAAAAAAAAAAAAAAAGAGGAGGTGGAAGATGGTATTTATCCAGCGTTAAACTTGCTTTCTGCAGCTATGCTTTCTTAACATGAAAAGTAGACTACTGCCAACTTCATGCTGTTAGGGTTTAATTGTGTATATGATGCTTATGTTTGCTAATATGTGGCCACTAAGCGCTATTAGCAGCTACTGAACATTCATATGTAATGTGAGATTCTTTATTTGTACGTTAAGAATTGTAAGTAACTTATAGGGAAAAAAAATAAATGCAGAATATGTTTTTATTTTTCCTAGGTTCTTTTCAATGTATCAGTCACAATGAAAGGATGTGATACAACTGGGGGAAGAAAATATGCAATACTTAAGCCTATTGGTTTCAATGAAACCACCATTATTAATGTACAGAAAAGCTGTGCCTGTCAGAATGGAGACAACGCAAAGCCCAAGAGAGTGTGGACTGATGAAACCTTTCCTGATGTCAAACAGCCCCATTGCAGTGACAGCAGTTGCAGCTACAGCAGAGAGATGTTTCCTTCTGAAGAGTGCAGGCAGCACAAGGACCAGCCCATCTGCAGTGGCCAAGGAGATTGCATAGAGGGAAAATGTTTCTGCTACAAGAACAAGCTAGGCAGGGTGTATGGCAAATACTGTCAAATGGATGATTTTTCTTGCCCATATCACCAGGGAAGCTTATGTTCTGGTAAGCTGCAGAATTTAGGCCTGTGCTTTGCTTTTTTTCCTTGTGTTTTGTTTTCTGAAACTTAGATACATTATGCAGCTGACAACAATGATGTAAGGCTGTCAAGTATAAGAATTGCATGTGCAGAATTAGGAAATATAAATGAGATACTGAGAGAATAAAAGGAGCCATAATGTCTACATGTAGTTCTGATTTTCTAACACCCTAAATCAGTCTTGCCAGACATACAGTGATGCTTGGTTTCTAATCCTTATGTATATGCAAACACTTTTTGGAACACTTGCTTCAAGTAGAGGACAGTGAGCAAAACATAACAAGGGAGAGTAGATGGAAATCCTCTTTTTCCTCTTTTTTTTTTTTTTTCAGCCTACTTTATGTTTTTTAAGAAATCATACAAATGAAAATTGTATATGAACTAAGTGAAAAAGCATGTATCTTTAAGTTAATGTTGTTAAGGAAAATAAGTTTTAATCAGTATCATTATCTGTACTGAAATATATTTTTTACCCTCAGAAGTTATATTTCAAGTATTTAAAATCTGTACTGCTGTTCTGCATCCTTTCATTTCACTCTGTACTGAGTGAGACATTGACTGATGTGTTGCCAGGCCACTCTTAATGATGATTGAAAAGTCATGGCAGTCAGGTGAAGTCCTTGGTGACTGGTAAAAAGGTGATGTCACACCCATTTTCAACAAGGTTAGAAAGGAAAATCCAGGAAATTACCAGCCTGTCAGCCTCACTTCTGTGTTGGGGAAGACCATGGAGCAGATCCTTCTGAAAGCTATGCTACAGCACATGGAGAGCAGGGAGGCGATACGGAACAAGTAGCATGGCTCCACCAAGTCCTATTTGACCAGCATAGTGGTCTTCTATGATGGTGAACAAGGAAAAGGCCACTGATGTCATCTGTCTGAACTTCAGTAAGGCTTTTGACAAAGTCCCTTATAACGTCCTTCTCTCCAAATTGAAAACATATGGATTTAACATGTGGGCTGTTCAATGGAAAAAGAATTCCCAGTTACTCCCCAGAGCGTGGTGTCAAAGACTCAATGTCCAAATGGAGATCAGTGACAAGTTGTGTACCTCAGGTGTCAGTGCTGGTACAGATGCTCTTTAATATCTTCATCAGTGATATTGACTGTGTGATCAAGTGCATTCCCAATGAGTTTGCATGAACCATGCTGTGTGGTGTAGTCAAGATGCCCGAGAGATAAGATATCATCCAGAGAGACCTAGACAAGCTCGAGCAGTGGGCCCAGGTGAACCTCATGAGGTTTGACAAAGCCAAGTCTTGTACCTGGATCTCAGCAGCCCCCACTATAGATGCAAGCTAGAGGATGCAAGGATAAAGCACAGCCCTGTGGAAAAGGATTTAGGGACACTGGTGGATGGCAGCTGGACACAAGCCAGCAATTTGCCCTCGCAGCCCAGAAAGCCAGCTGTATCCTGGGCTGCATCAAGGGAAGCATGGTCAGCAGGTCAAGGGAGGTGATCCTGCCTCTCTGCTCTGAGCTCACCTGGAGTAATGCATGTGCAGTCCTCAGTACAGGACAGACATGAACCTTTGGAGCATGTCCAGAGGAGGGCCACAAAAATGATCCAAGGAATGGAACACCTCCCCTGTGAGAACAAGATGAGAGATGTGGGGCTGTTCAACCTGGAGTAGAAAAAGCTCCAAGGTGACCTGATAGTGGCCTTTCTGTATCAAAAGGGGGGTATAAGAAAGAAGATGACAGACTTTTACCAGGATCTCTTGTGACAAGACAAGGAGAAATGGTTTCAACTGAAAGAAGATTTAAACTAGATATATGAAAAAAAGTTTTCTACAATAAGAGTGGTGAGGCAGGTCACCCAAAGAGATGGTGGAAGACATGCCCCTGGAGATATTCAATATCAGGCTGGAGGGATCTCTGAGTAACCTGGTCAAGCCGTAGATGTCTTTGTTAATTGCAGAAGATTGGACTAGATGACCTTCAAGAGTCACTTGTAATTCAAACAATCCTATGATCTTATGATTCATTCCAATACTAAGAATTGTGGTTCATGTTCTCAATCTTCTTCTGTAACCACAGCAAAGTCTGGGAATTCAGTTTTTCTTAACCTAAGCAGAACTTTCAAATTTGCAAGTTCCCAAAGTCTGAGATGCAGTGGGAGAGAAAACAGGGAGATGTTTGTCAAAGACATGTTGGAGATTCTCATACTGATGGAGTCTCCTGCCCAACCAACATGCGACCATGGCTGTACGTGTGCCCCTTAGTGGGATATTTTACAGCACAGAGCCCAGGCAGAAAAAGGGGCAGCCTATACTTTGGTCACACTGCCTGCCTCCCCCAACCCTCAGGGGATTCCATGTAGTTACATGGGATTGTCTCTCTGCACCTGCTCTGAAGGTCCCTCTGAAGGAGCACAAGAAAGACCACTGCAGTGCATGTGAAGCCTATGTACTGCTGAGGGCATGGCTGAGGAAGTCTCATAAGATTTGCTATAGCTGCAAGCTATAGCTGCAAGGTGCTCTCTGTTTTTATATTTCCTAAAGGTGTTTTCCTATGCTTTAAAACTATGGCTAATCATTACCAGGTTGATGTACCAGGTGTACATCAATTGTACACCTGCCTAAATGTACTGCAATGTGAAAAACATCTGGATTTTGCCCTAAAGCTCCCTCTGATTTGCCTGGAAGATTATAAAGGCCACCAGAGGTTCTCTGTACCCTTTGAGTACTTGAAGCATACATTTTAAGCTCATATTACACAACTCGCTGTTCATAAACATAGCGTATTTATCTCACCTGTTCAGTCATCTGTCCCTTTAAAAGGCTTATAAACACTGTTGTAACGCGTGCTTCTGAAAAGAAAATGAGAAGAACTGGCTTGAACACATGAACTCAGTACTCCTTCCTCTCAGAATTTTGCAATTTATTTGAACTGAATGCTTAATTGCTACAGAGAAGTTTGTTTAGTTTGCTTGATTTTCCTGAAAGTTGTGTAATTTTTAATCTCTGCTGCTTTGATCCAAAGCAACAAGGAAAATTGTGGTAAAACATTTTAGGACACAATCAAGGTAGCAGCTTTTGCTCAAAGTAGCGACAAAGAGCAGCAATAAATATGTATCATGGTGATAATTTCAGCCTAATCATTAACTTAAAAAGCTTATCAGCAGGCCAAGGACTACATTAGCTGTTTGATAAAGGTACCTGCAATACAAATATATGCATATAAAAATTGACTTTCTGTGTTTTATAAAAGCATTTGACTCAAGGTTATCTGATGTTTTAGGTAATGGTGAATGTGAAGCTGGTAAATGTAAATGCTTTGCTGATTGGGAAGGTGACCGTTGCCAGTGTTCATTACAATCAGCAAAGCAGTGCCTGAATTCAAAGGGCCAGATTTGCAGTGGAAGAGGAAATTGTGTATGTGGAAAATGTGAGTGCACTGACCCAAGAAGCTTTGGCCGTTTGTGTGAATACTGCCCTGCTTGTAACAAAGCCTGTGAAGAAAACTGGTAGGTTTTCCTTGTGCTGCACTTCATGTTTAACTCTGTAGTGTTGAAGCAAGGAGAAATATTTCTTCTTGGCTATGTGTACTATGTGCTGTTTTCCTTAGATGTTTAGATTATAGGAAACTTGAAACATTTCCTATTCAAGGCTTCTTATCGTGTAGTTGGGTTTTCATGCTAACAAAACAGCTGAATGTCTACATCTATGTTCACCAATGTTTCTGCTTTGGGAAATCATAGGTGATATGTGGTGTGAGTATAGTTTTTTCATATGTACTAAAGTAAGGAAGACTAAGAATGAACATGAGGCTGACAGTGGAAGAGATGGTGCAAGACCCCAAAGGAACACATCTGAGAATGCAAAGCAGGGGCCAGATGAAGGGGGCTTGAAACCAAACAGATGTTTTACTTACTAATTCTGAGTGGTCAGCCTTCAGAAGTGTCACAGGGATAAAATGCTGAGGAAGGCATCGCATTTCAGAAAAAAAATAAATGTCGCAATGTTTTTACTAACAACAGGAAAACATAATACGTCAGCTTGTTGATAGAATCTCTGCAAGAAGAGTGCAGAGAAAGACATAATGTTTTAATTACATTTCTCTTACAGGAATTGTGTTCAATGCCATCATTCTAACAATGCATCTCAAGCTAAACTTGACCAGTGTAAAACCTCATGTGCTTACCTATTGCATTATGTTGACCAAACTTCAGGTATGTGATATTTTCTGCATAATTTTGGTGAGAGTTCAAAATCTGTCCATATTAATGTTTGAAATGGTCACTGTTACAATGTATTTCAAAAGTATGTCAGTATTATTACAGTAAGAAAGAGGGAAAGCAGAAAAAAAGAAATTCCTTCTTGCTTCAGGGAAAGTAAAAGATAAATAGTAACAGGAAATGTTATTGGCAAGCATTGCTAAATAGATTTCCCATTTCCTTGAGAAGTCACATCTAATAATAATGAATCCTGCCTGAGCCATGCTTAAAGAAATATTTATAATAGTCCATTATGACATTTGCATGTTTTATTACATTGGATATGTTTACATTATTTGACATTACCAGAAATTAAGAAGGATGAAATAGAATGCTTACTTCACTGTCAGTAATGTTTAAATCTCCTTGCAAGTACAAAAATGTTGTAGTTTTGAGGACCTTGGAAGAATAAAATGCTTTTTTATAAAATATCATTGAGCTTAATTAGTCCACGCTGCATCAAAAATGGAAGTAGATAGTTACCTTATGTAACATCATATTTTTGTATGTCTTTTTCTCTTGAAAATTTTTATGAATGGAAAAACTAGTTGAGAATACTTTTCTCGTGACCTTTTTAATTAGAAGAAAGCCTACTCTGTGAGAGCATTGGCCAGTGAGGGCAATACTGCACAAGGAATCAAGAAACTATGTTTTCTTTCATATTTCGCCTGTGATCTGTACTGTGAACCTCATGAAAATTAAACTGTTCTGGCCCTGAACATCTCTAACAATTCATCTTCTCAATTTCAGCTATAAACTCACTGGTTTGCAGTGTGGCTAGCACAGCAAAGCCTTAGTCCTACTTCTGTAGATTAAAAGGATGATATTTGAACATTTTTCTATGCTTGGTCTTAATCAGAGTTCATGATGTTCTTTGCTTTAAAAGTTTGTGTATGGTAACATGAGCTATTTTCCCTTATTGTTCAGCAGACTTGTGTTACATTTATGCTCCTATAAAGTGCAGAGATAAATGTGCATGTGCTTTAGTGATGTGCTTATTCTGTACATTAGGCTTTATGCTTGTGTTTTCCTTTCATTGCAGAATGTTTCTCTGGACGAAGCTACTTTAGAGTGTTTTCCATAATCTTTATAGTTACGTTTCTGATTGGGTTGCTTGTTGTACTTATCATCAGGCAGATAATTCTGCAGGGAAATAGCAATAAAGTTAAATCTTCAGCTGATTACAGAGTCTCTGCGACAAAGAAGGTAATTGATTTCAGAGCCATCGTGTTCAGTAATTTATTTCTTGCACATGAAAGTTAGCTAATTGTTGATAAAAATTGTATCTTCTCCTTCAAGGAAAAGATGTTTTTGCCTACTGTTTGTACAAGAACAGTAACATACAGACGTGACAAACCAGAGGAAATAAATATCGACATCAGCAAGTTGCGGTTAAATGAAACTTTCAAGTGTGAATTCTGAAGACAGTGTGTTTTCTGCAAATGTCTATTTCCATCATTCTCTACTTTTTAGAAGTTACCACTCTGTCAGAATCTCGACTGTTGCTGTTTGTCATGCGTTTTGTTGGATACTGTAACAACGTGACATGTAAGCATATTCACATAAGGTGACTATGTCTGAAACTATAGCTGCTGGTTTTTTTGTTTTGGTTTGTTTTTTGTTTGGTTTTTTTTTTTTTGAAAGAAAATGTGCGTTACTACTGTTCAGGAACATTAGTGTTGATGTAGCACTTTAATGTATTCTAATTTATTTAGTTCTGGCATAGAATGTAGATACAAACAGATCTGACAAAGCACTGATCTCACTCTACTTGTAGTTAGTACTGATGTGCTCTGTGGGAATGAACAAAAACTGTGACTGAAATATTAACATTGCTGTATATTATAGCAATAGATGAAACTTTTCAAATGCTCTTAAATAGAGCAAATGGTACTTTTATAGTTCTCTCAGTTGACTAAATTCCACTGATTTGTCTGCTTTAGCCTCTTAGCTTTTCCTCATTGCTTAATAAAAATGACTGGATTAAATGAGTGCTTAGTTACTAGTTGTGGGTGTAGGCACACGCACACACACATGCACACAGACAAATATATATGTAGGTTTTGTATGTGTTATGTCACCTAGAGATAATTTATATCTGACAAGGAGTGCTTTTTAGCTTTTTTTTTTTTTTTTTTGCTTTCTTCAATGTAAAACTTTCATGTGAATATGAAGATATTAAAAAAAACTGAGTGGCTACAGAAAATGATTTCCTCTGTCCACAAGCACCACCTTCACTGTAACCACTGCCTGCTGACTGCGCCTTTGGAGTCAGCAGCGTCAGCTCCAATCTGATAAACTGCACCAGAGATGTCTTTGGTCTGCTAGCTACATGTCAGTGTTTTGGCAAGTAAGGACTTGTTCCTTTTGTATGTGAGACATAAGTCTGATGTTACACACGTGTTCTTCTTTCTTTGTAAATTAGTTGACAGGATTCTTTTTTCTCATTCTGTACTTCACCACTTTAATTTTTGTTGCAGTGCATTGAGAAACGTGTCTGGTTTGCTGTGACAAAGAATCTGCAGTTTGAGAGAAGTGGAGGAACTTAGGAATCATTTTCTCAAGAGAACATATTAACTGACTTCATAAATGTAGGACCAAATTCTGCCTTCAGTAATGGGCAAAATTCTTCTAAATACAGTGGGACCAATATAAGCTCGCCTGAAAGCAGAATTTGAGCTAGAATTTCTAGCACAAGTATTTTCTCACCCTTGAAACTGGTTGTAGTGGTAGACAGCAGGTTATTGATGTACACTAATGAGAAGAGTCAACCAGCATGCTGGCTTACTTACATTATGTTGCCAAAATCCTAAGAAATTCTGATCAGTGTCTGTGAAATATGCACTAAAATTTTGGTAGTGGAAAAAAAAACAAAAAAACTGTCTCATAGGACATTATGCAGTGTGTCATTTTAACAGTTGTAATTACTGGTACTACATTTGATCTGTAATTGCCATAGGTAAGAGTTACAGAAACAAAGCAGGACTGCCTTACATGAAATATGGTAGCAATTGGTATATAGTAGTATTTCCTATTCAATATTCTGTAAATTCCCACAGGTGAAAGGAGAGGAGGATGTGGAACAAATAATTATGACGTGAGAGTTCACAATGAATATTTTGGATCATGCAAAAAAAAAAAAAAAAAAAAAAAAAAAAAGTTTTAAACTGGTCTTTTAATTGTTTCTGAAGCAATCCTCAGAGTAGCCCCTTAGCTTCCCACCATTCAGGTAAAAGTGTCTCATTTAAATTGATTACCTTACACTGACCTTGATTTTACTGATAGCTTCATCATAATATCTGATCTGTTCATTCATTCTGACTCAAGCATTACTCTGTAGCATATCAGGAATACCTTGAGCTTTCCTTTCCATTTGAAGATGCATTTTCTTTCCATGTAAATTAACAGACTCTGAACCACTGTTTTCAGGGGGATTAAGATAAAAAAAAGCTATTAAGGTTTACTTACTATTGTTCTTGTCACATGGTTTTTGAGCAGGTAAAAAAGTCTATGGTTGCCTATTTCACTTAGGAAAACAAAATAAAGAAACAAAACCTCACAGGAGAATACCTGCAAATATAACAAAAGCTATGATTATGTTCCTTAACAATATGATATAATTTTTTTTAACAGAAGAGATTCATCAAAATGTGTTTCTCCTAACAGCCCATAAGCCACTTTCTGAAGTGACAGCTACTGTTTTTTTCTCTAAAATTTATTTTTTTCACTGTTAGTGGAAGCTAAATTTGGATAGGGGGCAATTAAGCTGGTGTCTGTGGAAGAAAGATATGATCTGTACCCCCTTCATCCAGGCACATCCTATTGCTGCCACTTTTCTCCTGTAGCACTTTGTTGGCACTGCAGTGTTGCTGCCTATGCAGGAGTGCAGACAGTATGTCTTTATCAGGCACCTGCCTGAGTGTGTGATACGCTCTGCTCAAACACAGCAGGCTTGCACGGCAAAGTCTTAAATAAAAAAAAAAAAAGAAAAGAGAAAAGAAAAAAACATATCTTATAAAAAGGCTTTTCTTGCATCTCGCTCATTGCTTTGCTGTATTTTAGAGGGATCTAGTGAAAAAAGAATAAGCTGTTGTTAATGTGACAGGTCAAGGCTTTTAGAAGGCCCATGGGGAGCCTACATAGGGCAGGATCCTTGGGAGAAGGCTTTGTTTCTGAGGATGGAATCTATCCATGAGAAACTCTGGCTTTACTCAGTGCTTGTTTCCCTCTGCCTTTGACCATGTTTTTCAGAAGAGCTGCTGCAGGAGATGAATAGACCAACAAAAGCCTCACTATTTAGGGAGCTGTGTTCCCTCAGCACATGACCTTGAATGAGAAAGCAGCCTGTAATTCACAAGGAATTTCCTCAGCAGTCACAGAAGGATTGTGCTTCCTATAGCACTTAGTATGGGAGATATCACAGAGAAATTAGTTCAGATTAACTTTCAAAGTACTGTGCATCAAAGATGCTTGTAAAAATACAGGAAAAACATCTAGCCTCAGTGTAGCATGTTTCAAACCTTTGAAATCAAGTAGAATATTTTGAAATATACTAGGCTGCTTGAAAAAATGGAAAGAAGGTCAGATAATTTGACTGCATGCCTATACGTAATAGCATGCTTACAGATACTATGGCACTTCATTGCTGATTTGCAGCATTTATTCTAGATTTTATCCTAGAAACAGAGCATCTTCCTGGCTCTTCACAGCAGATTTGTACATGTTAAAAATTCTAATCCCACATTATTTTTAACTTTGTTTTATTAACTGTGTAACATTTCAGAAATGTCACATTCATACAATTAAAACGCACACATCTTCAGATTTGTTTTTCGAGGCTCTGAGAGAGATGAAAAAATGCTGTGCGCTGATTGTTTCCAAGCATCATGAGTATGTTAATAACACCACTACAGACGTGTGTGGGAAAATAGCTGTTTCATCCAGAAAACGTGCACATGGTATGTGAGAAATTTTCATTGTGACTAGCTGAAATTCCCTTATGTTCACATGCAATGTTGCAAGTGAACCTTAAAAAGGAAGGACATGTGTGTAGGCATAGTTTACATTTTAGCCACTATAACTAACTGGATTTATTTTTTCCGTTCTATGATATCACAAAAACCTGCTATGTAAAGTATTCTTCAGACCACAGTGGAAAAAAATATTTTCCCAATCTGATCATACATTTGTTTTCTGCTTAGTATGCATACTTAAATGCATGTGCAGCATAAACTGTGGAAGTGAATGTGTGAAGCAGCTTCAAGCAACCCTTACTCCTGCAGGTGGCCATAAGGGACAGCAGTGCCCAGGACAAAAGGATGTAGGGGCCCTATTGCCTTTGCAGTAGGCATCCCAAGCACACTGCTGTTCCTCATGGCATCTCAACAGAGATGGCACTCCGGGACTGTATTTCTCCATCTGTCAGGGCAGGAGGCCTTGTCAGAGGAGGTAATCCTAATGGCCACACACTGGAGATGCATGACGTGCAGCCCACAGTCATCAACACTGCAGCCTGTTTGCATCTTTACTCATCAAACACTGCTTGCATACAACCTAGCGAGGTACTGTAAATCTGGGTGCTGCAGCCCTCCTTGAGAGAGAAAGCAAGCCTTCCTCCTGTAACGTCCTTGGGCATCTGTATGTCATCTTCTCCCCAGCCCCAGGATCTGCATTGCCAGGCCTTCTGTGATGTTTTCAGTAGCTAGGAAGGGCGCTTCTCATAAGGGTGCTGTGTGATAATTACTCTGCTCTGTGAATGAACTGTGGTGCCAGTGTTCTTGCTCTCCCTTTGAAATAGAGGTGCAAGATCTATTTGGTAAAAAGGAGTGAAGCAGCGTTAAGAATGACACTACTTTACCATGGTAATCTTGATGCTTCTTGATGCACAGACATCTCATGGATATTACACAGAACAGAAATTCATGGAGAGAAAGAAAAGGTTAGGCGTAGCTAATGTGAATGTTTTTCTATAGCGAGTCAAATCAGTGGGATTTCACTGAGTGCAAGCCAACTCAGAATGATTGGTCATTCTGGGGAAAAAAAAAAATATTAAAAAAAATATTTAAAAACCCCACAAAATTAGTAGATTCTTAAGTTTTAGAAATGTTTCTCTTTGTTAAGATTTCTGGTTATTAAAAAAACAATTTTAAACATGACTTTTGTTTAAACAACAGCTTCTGTTCAAATCCTAACTTTTCATCATGATACCTATGCGTGAGTTGTTTGTATTTTGAAGGGCGAGGCTGAAAGATGAGAGATTAATTTAGGAAGGCATTTGTTTTAGAAGAATTCACTGTGCTAACGTCTTCACTTTTACTTCACTACTGCTTCAAAGTGTCTTATTAAGCGATGATGTGACAGCTATTAATATTACTACAGTTTTTAACTTTCTATTTAACATATACTACCTTTTGTAAAAAAAAAATTATATACAGATGAATATTGTTTCTCTAGATTTTATGCATAGAGAATGTTAGTAAGGGAAGACGGTTTAATTATATCTGTAACTTCTTACTGTCCATCTTCCATTTTAAATGATACTTTTAAATCACTACTTTTTTTTGTCTGGAAATATTCTGAATATTTTATTATTTAAAATAGTATACTTTTATAGCTGTTTATTAATTTCAGTTGACTACTAACTTCTATTTTGATATTTATTAATGAGTTGACACTGTAGTATATTGAGATGTTTATTTTTCTATCAGAGCTGTAATAACTATGACATAGCATTATTTTAATGCAACATCATTGTACTTGCTCTCTAAAAAAATAAAATCAATATTTAATCTCTACGGAATTTTCATATTTTTAATGCCTAGGTAAGATAAGGAAGAGAGACTCCCTTCTTTTTTAAGAATTAACATGTTTTCATCAAGGTGTGCAAATACGTCCACAAAGAGGATATGCTTATGTTGTTTTTCAAATGGTACAATACATTGTCAGGAGAATTCAAGCTAAATAAAAAGAATACCTTGATGTTCAGATGTTGCCTAACAAATAAACACACATTCAGGATGGGGACAAGAAAATACTTCCGACAGAAATATAATCTATCTATTAATAGATGGTTACAGTATCCTGCTTTGCTCTGCTTTGATAGCAGAGGAGCTCCTGTCATGCGTATGGGTCAGTTTCTTGCAGATGTATTGTCCATGCTGCTTGCTGCAGACCCATGTTGCTTTATGAGGTCTGGTGAAATGCATCAGTAGACTGGGACACCTCTGTTCCCCTGCAGAGTTGGTAATAGTGTATGCTCTGCGCAACATTATCACATTTCTTGTAGAAATCACTGCTAAACTGAAGGGGTTCTTTCACATGAAGCTCCTAGGAAGATCCAGGTTTTTCTCTGGGGGTAGGAAAGAGGTAGAATCAAATGTTGACTGGTATAAACCCAGTCATTAAGCCATGTAGTGTGCAGGCCTTAACAGTACACTAGAAAAATACAATAGGAAAAAAAAACAAAAACAAAAACAAAAACAAAAAACCACAAACCAACTGGGAAAAGATGCACAGAAAACCTAGAAAGAAAAAAGTAATCACAATGGCATTGTGGGAATCTTTGTTGCTTTTTCTGCAAAGTAAGGAAGGTAAACCCAATTTAAGCCCGATGAGACAGAGGCAGAGGAATTTCCTTTTGCAGAGGCAGAAGATACATAAGCATTAATTAACAGAGAGAGCAGGAACTTGCAACCACTCCCACAGAGGAAAAACACATTTTCTACAACAGCTTTTTATGGAGGGAATGTTAATGTTGTCAACACCTCTGAGTAAACATCCTGGATCAGACACACAGTTTTAGCAGCTTGAGCTACAGGCACAGGGCTGCTTTTTGCTGCTTCATGTACAATCTCAAAGTCAGTGGTAACACTAATCAAATCTCTGACAGACTGGCACTAAGTCTATGCCTACCCTCTATGTTTTGGAATGATGGTAAGTGATCTGTTTGAAGCCTTCCATCCTTACTGTGTCCTGAAATCCTAAAAACATGCCTATGTACCTTGAAATGTCCAGGTATTGGTAGGGTTTTGACAATGGCAGCACCGTATTTAGCCAGTTTCCATTTGTGCCCATGAAGTTGTCAGTGAGGGCACAGTGGTGCTCTAATTTGACTAATGTAATGCAACTGCTATTTTGTTGCAGATACCATTGACCAGAAAAAGGCTTGCTGCTCAAGCTCTCCAAAGAGGAATGAAACCTAAGTTACAGCCTCTAAAGCCGGAGGAGGAAAGAGATCCTTCTTTCAGCCACTTTTTTGACACCAGTCATGTAGGTGCACACTATTACAGAATTTCTCTCCCTGCATGATTCCCACTGTGGCGGGTGCAGAATTTGACCTGATACACAGAGAGGATGCAGGGGACAAAAGTTCAGCATGTAAGTTATCTGCTCAGCACAGCGTTTGAGTGAAGATCTGAATTTGCGTGATAACAGCCAGAAGGCAATTGTTGGAATAACAAATAAAGGCTTTGTTAACAGGCTGATTTTAACTAGTGAGAAGTTAATCTGAAAAATGGTTGGTTTGTTCTCCTTCCAGGTCTACAACAAAGAGAAGAACTTTGGAAACACACTCCTGCTACCCTGGGCTTGAAACCAAATAGTTTAAATGTATTATAATAATAAATTAAACAGAAAATCTAGTTTTACAGAAACCTGAATGGTCTGGAACTGTGTTTGGGGCACAGGTATCCTCAGTGCAGTTCATGGGCTTGATGCTTGTCTTCTGTTTGGGAGTCCTGTGTTCATCCAAATTCCGCCTGTTCTGAATTTACATTACTTAGGCATAGGCTGCAAGTCTGATTTATTAGTTCTAGTGGCCCGACGTTATGATCTTCTGGCCCTTTATTCAAGGAAATAGTGGTGGGTGGCAGAAAGCAACGTTCCTTCTTGCAAATCATTCATCATCTGCTGAGCCCAAGCATAACATGGCCTCTAGCTGTTTTCTTGGCCTTGAACTCGATGATTAATGAAGGACAGTTACTGTTTAATAAGATGATGTGCGTGCAAGCTGATAAAACTAAACGATTAACCAAAAAACATAACATTTCCAAGTGACATCACATTATGCTTATTGAAATCAGGGCACATGATGTACTTCTTCCAGCTTTACAGCTTGCCAAGTTCCCTTTTTGAGCCCCTAACCAACATTTCATCCTAAGCCTCTGTTTATGCCTCAGCAATCTGGAGAGCCCAGGACCTGTTCCTGAGATTCCTGTGCTCCCAAAACTGCTCACAGTTCCTGTTCTCCCTCACATCCTCTTCTTATTTGTCTATCACCACATCCTTAAGGTATGTGATTTAACTGCAATGAAAATGAGACAAATCAATGGATAATTTTATGTGGGATTTTTAGACAAACATTTGCTTTACTCTGCTTTAGACAAAACAAGACTTTTAAAGACTTCTACATGTTAATCCTGGTGCTCTCTACAGCTTTCTTCTTTCCTTCAGTCATTCTGCATTTGTGCCTGGACTCCTGTGCAAAAAAAAAAAAAAAAAAAAAAAAAAAAAGCCAGAAAAAAGGTCCTTCCCATTTTTTCCTCAAAATTGTGTCATCTGAAATTATGCTTTCCTTGAAAATCAGAGGCACTGAATCAGAAGGCTTCATCAGTGAACAGCTCATTTATCTTCAGAAGAATTTTTTTTTTTTTGTCTTTGAGCAGACATGAGTGAGTCCAAGTCTGTAAGACAAAGCTAAACAGAACACCTCCCAGCTTTCATATTCCTCTTCTTTCCAGTGCTAAGAAGTCAGATCTGTTCCTTGCTGTGATAGACAGTTCTAGAATAGGGACTCTATCTCTAGGTATAACCTTTAAATCTGACACCTTCACATCTTCTGCAAGGTATATGCAACACACAAGATCCAAAGACAACCCATTTTAAGTGCCATCGTTCTGGTATTCCTTATACTTTTTCATGTATTTCTTTATGACTGCATATTCCATCCAAAGTAACTTTTCTTCAGTATCAAGAAACCCATCTCTGTATAACCTGCTAGACCAGACAATATAGATATATATACTAATATGTACTATCGATCCAAATACACCCTCACAAACATATTTTTTAAATGGGATTCCTCCCATACTTTCTCATGCATTGCAGGATCTTCCCTTAAGGTTTCCTGTACTTATCCAAGGTTCTCCTGGTGACTATGCTGCTATCACACTGAAATCATAACTCTAAGTGTTCCCCAGTATTCATCTCCTTTAGCCTTTGCACTTTCCTGTTTACCTTTTTTAGCTGCTGTCCCACACATTGCATCTAAATCATGGAAGACAAACACAGCATCCCGCACAGTGGATTCTTGGGTCATAGTCATAATTTTATAAGTCAGAAAAAATATTTCTCTATCTAGTTTATTCTTCATTACTGTGAGTCTGGTATCTTGGTTTCAAACGTGAAAAGTTTATTTGAGCTGATGTTGCCTCCTGGATCAAAAAGAGTTTATCCAAGCAACTGTTGTAGAGTATTCTTATATTTTCTGTTTATATACTTTCCACTTACTGAAAAATTAGCTGGTATTTGAACTACCTGAAAACAATGCAATGTAAAAGTCACTGTGCTATCCAGGAAGTTTGCTCACCTAGTTAACTGGCATTTCTTCAAGTGTGTTAATGAAAAATGTATTCAAACATTGTTATTTTGTGAAAAAAAAAAAAAAAGTTTATCAAATGACTGTCAACATAACTCAATATCTTGAAGGAAAGTGTGTTACTGAGTGTAACTGCTATCATTTACACTATTTGATACATTTGGTGACCTAATTCAAATGGAATTCATGTGCTTTTATCTTGACAGATTTTACTCCTTCCTTGATTATGGCCCAGTTACTACTGCTTCTCTAAGCCAACATAGGTGCTTGCCAACAAAATGAAGTCTGCACTATCTTATTGAACTACTGAGATAAGGAAGCTGTTTTTCTTGAGCAAGCTCTGGCAAAGATATTATAATTTTGGTATGCTTGCAACACCTGTGTTAATGCAGTTTTACCAGATTTAAAATTTATAAGGAAACTACAGTAGCATAGCTACTCCTGAAGTTCAGCAAACCTGAAATTGGCTCACTTTCCTCTAAGTCAGCTATCCTACCATGACAGCCATACGCACAGATGGTAGTTTCTCCACAGGGGAAACACTAGTAATTATTTCTCTCTCCTTATAAGAAAAAAAACTTAACGAAGTTTTTTTCTTCCTTTCATCTTCCTGAATAGCTGCAAGAGCAACTCCTAAAGCAAGCCCTTCTGCCAGTTTTCTTCCATTAGCATCTCTAAGTACATGCATAAAACAAAAGGCATAAAAACACAGTTATTGATTTTTTCCACTTCTCTGCTAGAACAAAGAAAAAAAAATCTTGTCAAGCCATTTAATTCCAGACTTGTATTTACTCTATGCTAGAGCCAGCCCTCAAGGAACAAGGCATCTTGCCTCCAGCCTCTGGCTTGGTACCTGTGGCTGGGTAGCCTCCTCCCACACATCCCATTTCAAATTCTTCCTAGATGGGTTGTTGTCCTTGAATGCTCTTGCTTGTTTACTTGATTCGCTTATTAATGTCTTGGCTCTGTATGGAGGTTTCCAGGAAAGAGAAAATTTCATAAAGGGGATACTGAATTAGTCCTGCAATCTACAGTTACATGAAGGATGTTGTACAGGAACTGCTGAATCATGGCCTGAACCTCTGATTGATCGCCTGAGGTGAGCTGGTGCTACCAGAAGGGGTGGAGCCAGGCTCCATCTCTCCTACACCCACTTAGGAGCTGACTATTAGTGGGGATGGGTCTCTTACTGGAGATCCCTCCTTTGGAGTTTTACAGGGAGCCCAGGATAAGGGTAAGCACTCTATTTTCTTTTTAGTATTATAAGCTGCTCTGCTAAACTCTCTTGTTTATTTCATAATTATAGTATCTTTATATTCATTGGCTACAGATATGGAAACAAATATTTATTTAATGAGATGTACAATTTATAACTGAATGGACCATGAAACTTATATTTCTTTAGTAGATCTATATCTTCAGCTTCAATTTCATTTTAGATTTTCTGCCTTCTATCTAATCTACAGCTCCCATAGCAGGAAGGTAATTTCAGTATTCCAACAGTTACTTGGCAAATCAGCTATCTACCTATTCTCTGTGCTTTACAGCACACGTTCCTTCAGTGTCTGAGCCTGGTTTCCTATGAATCATTTCTACCTCTTTTGGTCTCTATAATTTCCTACCTTAAGAACTTCTGAAAAAGTGTATTTTAGGAACATAAAAAAACACCTTATTTGGTGGTAGGGTAACTTAGAGCCTAGAAACCTGAGATTTCAAAGACTGTTTGTCAGTTTTGGCAATAAGTCATGCAGATGATATAGCTTTCATATGTAGTCCCTGGACTGTCCTGCTGTCAGTGATACCATCTGATAACCAGGTCATTTGGCAGGTGCCCAGAATTACAAGCTGAATTTTTAATTAGGCATCACTATGACAAAGGAAAGGATTATATCTAAAACAAAAATAAAATGAGACAGAAGCAAGGGTACCTCTGAAAACAGTTATGCCAAAGATTAAGGCTGGGGGGTGACCTCATTGCAGCCTTTCAGTACCTAAAGGGAGCCTACAAACAGGAGGGGAATCAACTCTTTGAAAGGGTTGATATGTGTAGGACGAGGGGAAATGGTTTTAAGTTGAGGGAGGGAAGATTTAGGTTGGACATCAGGGGGAAATTCTTTACCCAGAGAGTGGTGAGGTACTGGAACAGGCTGCCCAGAGAGGTTGTGGATGCCCCGTCCTTGGAGGTGTTCAAGGCCAGGTTGGATGGGGCCCTGGGCAGCCTGGTTTAGCATTAAACGTGGAGGTTGGTGGCCCTGCATGTGGCAGGGGGGGTTGGAGATTCATGGTCCTTGAGGTCCCTTCCAACCCTGGCCATTCTGTGACTCTGTGATTATGATGTCCTCTGCTATAGCAACTATTACTTTAAGGATGGTTTTCTGGGGTGGGAAATCATAATTTTACCCCTAAGCTCTGTTCAAAGTCTAAAGTTCTGAACTTAAAAATTCAGGCAGAGATTCCTTCTGCACAGCAGAGACCTAAATATACTCCTACATTTGCTGAATCCCACAAAGTGGAAAATTTAAAAACATGACAAGACTATTGGGATAGCTCTGAAAGACAGAAATCTGTTAAGATATTTTCCATAGGATGAATCTCTAAGGTTTTTTCACATGAGATGAATATTTGGATTGAGG